CGGTGGCAGTGAAAAGAGCCAACTCAGCACATCTACTCAGTCACTGGAGGACAGAAGCAGACCATAATGTAAACAGCCCTGCAGGAAAGGACATCAGATAGCACCACAACCACCAATTAGCAGTGCGATAGGGCTCCACAGGGACTTAAATATTCTTGAACATATGCTTGTTTAGAAGAATATAAGAAAGGTTGTCCTTATTAACCAATCTCCCCAAACACTCAATTTATCAACATAAATTGATGTATTAGTTTCCCATGCTTGCTGTAACACATGACCACACTTCGGTGGTCTAAAACAATGCAGACTAATTATCTTACCATTCCGCTCAGAAGTCCAAAAATCACTGGGTTTAAGTGAAGGTGTCAGTAGGGCTGGATCCTTTCAGAGGCTCAGTGGAGAGTCCAGTCCTTACTTTTTCCTGTTCCTAAGGGTCACTTCTACGTCACGCCTATAGCCCCTTCCTGTCGAAAGCCCTATACTCCAATCTCTGTGTCTTCACTCCGTCTCTGACTCAGGCATGAGACGCCATCTTGAAAGTACTTTGCAATGCATTGCCCTCCACCCTAGATAACTTTCCATCTCGAGATCCTTAGATTAACTCCACCTCCCACATAAGGAAACGCAGGTTCTGTTGATTAGAATATGGATGGTTTGGGGCGGCCATCCAACAGATGAGTATAAGGAATTCAGTTAAATGGGAAGAAGATCTCCCGGTAATGACAAAAAAAGTATTATTGCTAGGGACCTTCTTGCAAACCTTCCTGGCATTTGGTCTAGTTTTGAGCTAGCAAATAAAAAGTATAATAACACCCTTGGGGAACAGGATAATTTGGTGTCTAAAAATCCAGACATGTCTGTGAATGAGAAAATTCTCCAATTAATAAACAGGCACAAAGAAGCAAACTATTTCACTTTTCCAATAGCTTGTTCCTTTAGGGATGAACCGGTTTTGTCCTTTAAATGTATCCAGAATCTAAAAGCGGGGGTGGGGTGAGGCAGTGGCCTGGGTGAAAGCATTCGGTCTGTGAGGGGCACTGGAATCAGCCCTAGCAGCTGCAGCCCGCAACAGCCAACACTGGCCACCCATCCCCGGGAACCCCAGTCCACACGAGGCTTTTGTCCTCTCCGAAGAGCAGGTCAGTTATATTGAGGCTGTCAATAGGCTGCGAGGAAGAAGAATGCCAGGGAAGGAATCAATGAATCCAGGAGTCTGCTAGGTGGAGCAACAAGAAACCCACTGTGGCTAGCACTTTTCATCATTCTGCTGCAGAGGTAAAATCAGAAACCTGTGATGTCATGCTGCTGGTGACGTTCTGACTGAACAAGCCTCCCAGTGTGAGACTCACTGGGTAGCTCCTCCCTGAGAACAAATGTGAACAGAAACAGCCGAACAATTCAGGCAGCAGCATCTTCTTAAAGGAAAATAGCAGGGAAACAGAGTCAGCTGTGGTTAGAGATGTGCTTGACACTGAGACACAGCAAAACGAGCGGGAGCTGTTCTAGAATATGTGCTCCTAAATGTATGGGCAAAGTTAGAATGAGGTCTGATGTAGGTCACCACATCTGCGTGTGTGTGTACGCACGTGTGTACACACACACACATCTAGATATTCTCAACCAAATTGCACCACAATTATAATAAATGATGGGTGTAATTGATGCCTACTTTTAAAGATATCGGTGCAAAAAGTCTATGGGATTATAGCGGTGGGAATGTGAGTGGGGAACCAGAAGCACTTTTTCTATATTACGCCTTGGGGACCAGCAGGTGGCATGGTGGCTAAGGGGTTGGACACTCCCACATGGCCAACCACAGTTTGAGTCCCGGACCTGCGGGCTTGCTTTTCCTCTCTCTCTCGTTCGCTCTCACTCTTGCTCTCTCTGTCTCATTCTGGTCAAATTTAAACAGTAAATGAATGAATAAATAAAATTAAATAATTAAAAAAAAAAAGCACCTCACCAGTGATCTTTGGAAATGCCCTTATGTGACCTTGAAAGGAAAGGGAAGTTTATAATTAAGGGGGAAGGCTGGAGAATCTGATGGAGGATTGAACTCCAGGTCTGTCACTGAAAAGTTCTCAAACAGATTCTTCATTTGTCAACTATAGCTAAAGGCGCATTGTTTTGAGTACCAAATGACACAAACATTGTGAAACTCTTCCGTAGTCCTTGGTATGTAAAATGATTTTGTTTAAAAAAAAAAAAAGAGTATCAGGGCCCATAGGCGTTGTAGTGGTTAAGGTGCTGGACTCCCACATGGTTGACCATAGTTCAAGTCCTGGACCTGGTGGCTTGAACTTCACATTGGGAGTGTGTGCGTGTGTGCCCAAAATCCCAAGAGGAGAATGGAGGAGAAGGGATTGTGGCATGGCCATCCCCCTGGGGGGTGATTTTTAACTTTCTGGCCATCCCCTCTAAAGGGGTGATATCTGACTTTCTGTCTCTCTGTCTCTCCCGTGGTACATGCGTCCTGTGGCAAAAAAATCTCTCTAAAAAAAAAAAGTACCTGGAAATAGCAACAGTAATAAAACAAAAGAACAAAGAAGTCAGTGGGCCACACATTAGCTTAAAACTTCTGAAGAAGAATTGTGTTCTCATTCAATACCCCCCGCCCCAAAAAAAAGTAAAGCTAGAATAATTTTAAAACCTTAGTAGGAGATTTTAAAGACTCTCTGACACAAAGCCTTATTAAATAAACCAGTTTAAAAAAGAGCCCATAATTTAAAACATATTTTTGCTTTCATTTTTCTATTTACTAGGGTCATATGGACATAAACAGTGGAAATGAGCTGCTGAAAATGCACCTAATTGTTCTGTATTGCAGAACTTATTTTGTATATGTATTATAGGAAACAGTGTCATAAATTTTATACCTGGAAGACACTTGAATATAGTTATTCCAGTTCCTCCATTTAGATAAGATATGCAGAGCTCAGAAATACTAAGAACTGCCTCTGTCTCCGACATGGGAAGGTACAGAGGCAGGGTGTCACTTATAACCTTCTGGTTCCCAGTACAGAAAAGGCTATTCTGTACATGTATCTGAAGACCATGTTACTTTTTTGTGCATAGAGATTGTCTTTTGATCTGGACACCTAATTGGGAAACATAGCTGAGAGTGCTGACGTTGGTCAGGGTAGCTGCTGTAGGGAGTACACACCCTACCGAGAGTATTCGTTAAAACATTGCTTTCCCAATGAACTCATTTGAAAAGATTTATGTTTTCTTAAGTATTGAATATCTGAACATACTTACTAAGAGCTTACATGCATCCTAAAATGCAAAATATCTGTTTTTGATTTTGTTTTTTAAAGAAATATTTGCCTTAGGGCATGTGGACTTCCTGGAGCGAGAGAGAGGCAGTGAGAAATCACCCCCCAGGAGGGGTGGCCACACCATAGTCCCTTCTTCTCCATTCTCCTCCTGGGATCTTGGGCATGTATGCACATGTGCCCAGTATGATTCTCAAGCCAACAGGTCTGGAACTTGAACCACAGTCAGCCGTGTGGGAGTCCAACGACATAACCACCATGCCACCTTCTGGTCCCCCAAAGCGTCTGTTTTTATCTCAATGCACTGAAGTCACATACAGATGATAAAAAACAATAGATTATTTCACAAATCAGATAAAATGGTTTGCTCCATTATTTCAAACTCAGAAAATCAACTTATTTATAATGCTACTGGAACTATGGGCAATCAGATAAACTCATCATTTTCAAAATGTTCTGTCATTTCACATACTTCTTTAAGCTTTTTACATTATACTATTAGAAGTTCTAATAACAAGCCCAGTTACATTAAAAAATAGTTAATATTTTCTTTGACACTTGATAGTTAGTGTTGCTAAAAAAATAGTAATTGTGTGAAGAAATAATTGCTAAGTTAGCCTTGCTTTTAGCTTTCTTTCATATGAAAGGGGAAAGGGCATTTAAACCAAGTATTGTTACCGATCTCCAAATTGGTCTCCAAAACTGTTTACTGGGACTAGCAGGTGGTGTGGCAGTTAAGGCACTGGACTCCCACATGGCCGACCAGTTTGAGTCCTGGACCTGTCAGCTTGCTTTCTCATTTTCTCTTTCTCTCTCTTTCTCTGTCTCTCTGGTAAAACAGAAAAATAAATAATAACAACAAATTTAAATAAATATTAAAAACAAACTATATCCTTTTTTTAGAGTTTTTTTTTTTTTTCCTGCTACAAGGTATGTGTGCTCACCAGAGAGAAAGAGAGAGGTAGAGAGATAGAATGTGAGAAATCACTCCCCAGGGGAAATGGCTACCCCACAATCCCTTCTCCTCCATTATTCTCTTGGGATTTGGGGCATGCACGCACACACACCTAGAATGAGTTTTTAAGCTGCCAGACCAGGACTTGAACTAGTAGACTATGTAGGAGTCCAGCAACATACACACTACGCCATCTGCTGGTCCCCCAAACTATTTTCAACTTTAAAAGGTCAATGACTACTTTAGAGTTCCTTGGGGGGGGGGGGGGAAGGTGGTGCCAGAAAGGGCAGGGATGCTCATTCAGGAGGCCCCCAAACAGGTACATGCCACTTGCTGCAAAAAGACAAAACTTGATGAGTTTTGTGGAAAGAATTTATTCAGTGAGGCCAACATCCCCAAGAGAACAGATGAGTCCAGACTGATTCACTGTACCTGACAAGACACAGCCTGTTTAGGGAAGAAACAAAAGGCAAGTTAATCAGGGTCTTGGGGCAAACAGGAGCAGGAGAGTGGCCAGCAGCTGGTGCCATGGTTAAAGTGCTAGATTCCACTGTCCGACACTGGGTACGTGTGCGTGTGCCCAAAATCCTGAGGGGAGAGTGGAGGAGAAGGGACTGAGGTGTGGCCGACGACCTAGAGGATGATTTCTCATTTTCCCTCTCTCTCTCTTCTCTCTGCTCTCTGCTCTCTCTCTCTCGCTCTGTCTCTTTGGGAATAGCATGTGGCCTATGGCAAAAAAACTTAAAAAATAGAATAAATGAGGAGAAGATTCAAGGGAGGCCTAGCCATGGCCTTCAGCAAGTCCCCAGGAAGCCCAGAGCCTAAGGGGCGGCCATGCTGAATGTGAGGGGCAGTTTCCGGTTGGGCAGAGCAGGGGAGGATAGGCAGGTTTCCATTCTCTGCAAGGGGCTTTAAGGTCAGCAATGACTAGCAAGGCAGTAGAAACAAACCGAGCCTGTCACCACAACTCTTAGATCCAGGTTTAGGAGAGGTGGCTTTGTAACACGAGCTGATAACATCTTCCCAGCCGGCCTATGTGGGGGCTGGTGGCATCTCCAGTCAGGCGTCTGTAAAAACTCGGCGGAATTATCATATTAACTTGTATTAGCTCAGCGGCAGCTTCCGTCTGTCACCAGGGAGGTTTCTGGAAGACGCACTGTGAAGGAAACGCTAGAAGTTCAAGGCAGATCTTCCAAGGTTTCATCTGTCCACATGGACTCCAGGAATAAGTACAGCGGAGTCACTTTGGCGCTCTTACTGCTCGGCTGTGCTCTGGGACAACGCCTTTGACATTTCTCAGTCTTTAAAACAAGCACACACAGCGCTTGTCTGGAGAGGCTATTCAGGTTCATTGACTCGTTTTTTACTGGACCCAGTTGAAGCAGGGGTAGGAAATACATTTGGTATGGGATGCCAAGCCGTTTCTCCACTTCTGAGTCCCAGTCTCGGTAACACGAACTGCCGTTAAAATGGCAACTTCGCCTTCCGTCTGCATCTGTACCTGCTCTTCCCCCTTCTAGCTCACGTCCCCTTCTGGAAGCCCTGAAAGAGAGGGAGGCATGGAAGGCCTAGAATGGGACAAGAGCTCCAGCGGCAGGTGACAGGGCCCAAGGATGCCCTCGGTGACAAAAAGGTGACCCAAGCCAGGAGTGTCAGGAGAAATCCTTCAGCTTTTATTTTCTTCGTATATACATTGCTAAGTTGTTGTGTGTCACACATACATGCTACTAAATGCTCCGGAGGATGCAACATTGAGTTCAGCAAGCTGTTCTCCAACATGTTATTATTTGGAGAAAGATATTTGATGGAAAGTGTTTTAAATATCTGTGGAAGTTCCCATAAGGCAAGCATTGCAACAATTCTCTTTTAAAATAAAAATTTAATATGCAAACTAGCAAGCAATAACAAAAGCTTCTGGTTTTTCCAAAAATATTTCTAAGCATGAATTAAGTTAGGCACACAGGGATACCTTTATTAAAGTACATTTAAAAATTCATTATAAAAATTTGCTCTCGGGAACCAGCAGTTAACGTAATAGCTATATTGCTGGACTCCCACGTAGTTGACCGCGGTTCGAGTGCTGGACCCGGCGCGGGTGTCCCAGGTTCTGAAACCGCGCCGGGACGGGTTTTAGTTACGGGCGAGATTTCAACTTGGAAGTCACCTTGAAGTTCTGTAAACGCGGCCCGTTTGCAGCAGCACCTGTACCTGCCCCAGTGACCCACCCGGGTTCAGCGCCTGCTTGGCCCCTGGCCGGCCCCAGGCGGAGTGGTTCTCATGGCCCGCACCTGCTGCCTGCACCTGCTGCCCGGTCCGGTCTCCCGCGGGCCTGGCTAAGGGGTGAAAGGAAACGGCCCACGTGTTTGATTACATAGGTGGACTGACATTTTCAAAGGGTCTTTGAAGCAGGTGCATTTAATTCTTGTTGAAGTATTTAAAATGCGTTTGTAAATCCTTTGGTGGCTATTTTTAATGTTCAGGTTTTTTTTTTTCTTTTAAATCTTTACTTGGGTATTCATGTTACTGGAGGTGTTCACGAGAGAAATGCAACATATATTCTGAATGGTCTTAATTTGCTGAATAGAATTAAAATTTTTATAGCTTGCTAGTATTATTTAGGGAATGACATTTTAGCTCTAGCTACTAGGCCAGTATTTTTAAATATTTTACAGATTACTTCTCAGGTAAAATGGGGGAGGGGTATATTCTCGACATTAGAAAATGACAAGAAGGGCATCCGACACACGGCCTCTCAGTATGTTAGTATCTTAAATATCGCACACTGACAACCTCAAAACCACCTGTGGCTGGGCTGGGCTGCAGCAGGACCGCCTTTGCTAACGTCTATAAATAAACCAACCCTGTCTTTTGAACCTTGAGCCGGTCACCTCCGGTAAAGTTCAGCTTATCGGTTAAGTGAGATAGAATGAAGTAAAATTGCAAAACTTTTCAGACTGAGTTTCAAACTTCTAGCTCAAGCAGGTTAGCCACAAAATAGTTTTTATTTCACTTAAGACTCTAGTAATACTTGGAGGAGCTTGCTGTTGTGAATAAGCTGCAGTGGTGTGAGTCCACTCTGGCAGCATTCTGATTATTCCTGGTCATCCAAGCATGTTCTCCATCTGCTTTGGACCTTCTCAGTAGTGTCTTTTTCACTTGCTTCACTAACTTCCTATAATGATCAAGATAATGAAACTTCTTGTAATGAACTGTCTTTTGACATGAGCTTATGCCAACTTCCTGGTTCTAAGTAGTGTTCTAAGACAACTGGTTCTTATTAATCCTCTTTTTTTTTTTTCTGTTTTCAAAAAAAGAAAAGCAGAAAAGATAAAAATAGGAAGAAAAAAAAACAGAAAAAAAGGAAAGCAGGAAAAGAGAAAATGCCCAGCAATAAAATGTAAAAATCATGCACAATGGATGAAAATTCGATTACTCTATTTTTTGGTTTATGTTTAACAAGAGACTGTCTACCAATGTCCAAAAGACAGATTCTTCCTCTGTTTTATTTCAAAACTAATAATTTATTATTTATTATTATTATTATTTGGAGAGGTTTTTGCTATAGAGCGTGTGCACTCGACAGAAAGACAGAGAGGGACAGAGAGACAGAAAGTGAGAAATCACCCCCCAGGGGGGATGGCCACGCTGCAATCCCTTCTCCGCCGTTCTCCTCTTGGGATCTTGGGCACGCACACACACATGCGCCCGGCGTGAGTTTAAGCCACCGGGTCTGGGACTCAAACTGCGGTCAACTACATGGGAGTTCAGCGACATAGCCATTACACTAACTGCTGGTCCCTGAAAACTAATGATTTTTAAATTTTAGTTTAAACTACTACCTTCAATAAGGAGTGGTTATTTGTTAAGGTTGAAATTATTTCCCACCCTATAGTTTTTGGGGATTTTTTTATTGCTATTATTCAGTGCTGCTGCTGATAGTTAAATAAATGATTCCTTTAAAAACAGCATGAAAGGGTGAAAGTAGCACGTGCCGAATATTTATATAGAACTTTAAGGACATGGTTAGTCTAGATCTCTCCTCTGTCTTGAAGTTCTTGAAGATTTGATGCCTTTTGGCTCTAACTTCAATTTTCCAGCATGGTCAGTGATATAGATTTGTCTTGTAAGAGAATATTTGGGTGCCATTCTGGATCTGGAAAAACTTGCTTTCTCCAAACCAGTCTAGAGAGGTTCTGATAAGTTCACTTCTGCTAAGATTTTAAAGAGAGAGAAATCTTTTAGGGTATTTTCACTTCCACGTGGCATAATTCTGTAATATGTGATTGCTGAAGATGTCAGGCTTACACACCTGCATAGTCAGAGTTACACGTGGGACAGCAGAGGGGCCTTCCCTACCATGTCTGTGTGCACACACAGTACGGGCGACCATGCCCTGCTTATAACAGTCTCTGCCCTCAGATTGTCTGGATCTCGTCCTGCTTCATTGTTCATCAGCTCTAAGACCTTGGATGTATATCTGTCCTTATCTTAGTTGGTTAAAAAGCAAAATCTAGGAAAAATAGTCATGTGTATTTGAAACTTGTTCTGAGCATTAAAAGAAAATGCAGGTTACGTCTTTTTCAGGGGGCCATAAAACAATAGTAATTGTTCCATACACATTAATGCTTCTTTTCATTTTTAGGTCATTAGTCAATAGTGTCATAGTTATATGTAAAGGAGCTCTTAGCAAAAAACTTCCTCATGTCAACTTAAAGGATAACTTATGAATGAAGCCATCAAGTCTCACATCAGAAAACTAGAGGGTATGGCTTCTGGTGTAAAGGTACTGCCTTATCCTTAGGAGAATATTGTGGTTGATAGTTCTGACAGGAGAAAACAAAGGAATGAAAAGAAGAACTAAGGTCTGATTGACTAAGAGGATATTAAACTAGAACAGTTGCAGGGAAGACCCACACTGGAATTCAGTAGGATAAAATGTCAGCATGTACTATTTTCCCATATCCCGAGTGCTAATAGTGACTCAATTTAAATAATATATTGATATATGTTTAAAAAAACTAATCATCAACCATAAAATTGTGGGATATTTCAAATTATAAGAAGATGAAGAATCTATTGTACCAAAATATGTATTGCTGGGTTTTAAAAATCCAATCTAAAAGGAGGAACATCATTCTTGACAAATGTAAATCATAAGTTTTATCAGTTTAAATGACAATTGCTCTCATGCTACTTCCTAGATTATTGAATATCTAACAGTGATTTTTGGAGACAGCCATACAATATGAGTAAGAAGGCCAAACGTTGCAGAAGTTACTATTAGAAAAACGAATCTGTTACTTGGCCTTGTCAATTTTTTTTCTGTTTGAAATATAAGAGAGTGGTACCCAAGATGGGCTGTGGACGCTGAGATAGCCATGGTGGTGGCATACCAGGTGTTACATGGACTCATACCCCGCCTGTGTTTATTTTCCATTCACCGAAAAATAATGAGCTGCTTAGACATTTACCACTGCATAGAAAGTTCGTTACGTTTCCAAGTGCTCTGTACAGAAATAACCCAGATAGATGGCTTTCCTTTGTAATCATGAAAAGTGATCGATCAATGCTGTGGTCTTTTATAAGATTTCCTCTGTATCTGGTCTGTTCGGTTATGTTTCATTACACGATATGTTGTATTTTCCTTTCTTTATAAGCTTCTCTGCCACTTACATGATAGCCGTTCTCATTGTTTGATTTTCATATGTGTTCCACAATATAAAGACATTCTGAAAAGTACAAGAACAGTTCCTAGCTTGGAATTTCATTTACTATATGCTTAATTTTGTTGGTTGATAGATGTTGAATACAAACCCTTGTCCTCAGTGTCAGTGTCATCATCTCTTTAAAGTCATGTCTAACTTTCATGACAATAATACAGAATCTAAACCAGTTGGAAATGTTGGCCTTCTTTTAATAACTACTATTTATTATGGTTCTACTTTAAATGCATGTGAAATGAACACCGTGTTACCTTAATAAGTGAGAGACAGTGCCTCTTGCTTTAGATGGGAAGTTATATTGTTTAGTATAATTATATGAAAATATGCAATAACTCCTTGTGATTCTTTATCTACAAAAGCTTTTCTTTTCTTTTCTTTTCTTTTTTTTTTTTTTCGAGAGGTTTTTTTGCTATAGGGCGCGTGCGCTTGCCAGACAGACAGAGAGAGACATAGAGACAGAAAGTGAGAAATCACTCCCCAGGGGGGATGGTCACGCCACAATCCCTTCTCCTCCATTCTCTTCTCAGGATCTTGGGCACGCACGCACACGTGCCTGGCGTGAGTTTTAAGCCACCGGGTCTGAGACACGAACTGCGGTCGACTACGTGGGAGTCCAGCCACATAGTCATTATGCTAACTGCTGGTTCCCTACAAAAGTTTTTCTAAAATGTTAACATTTGAAATTTTAAGTCATTTTATTTGGGGAGGGAGGGTGGCAGAGAATCACAAAAGGGTAGGGGTCCACACGACCACTGGAATGACCATTAGAGTATTTCTTGTTACTGTCCGAATACTTACGGCTTATACGTTTACCCACTCATTCATCACAATTTATTTAGACTTCAGGGGTTGATGCAGTTTAAAAGTCTGAGAAGATCAATGTATTTTTAGTGCAATTAGTGCATTATAAGATCTCTCTTGGCAAAAGTGAGATAAAATTGTGAAAAAAATTTACTTAGTTTCAGTGAATGAGAGAGATCATATCTTTAATACTCTCTTATGTTGCCATAAAAGTTTAGAAGTTTCCCTATTTCGAGTGCCCATCTGCAGGTGAGAGACCCTTCCTTTATCATATTCCAGAGAACCACACCGTGTAAAATGAGTAGGATCATGTAAATCATTCAGATTCCTAGAAATTGTCACCTGGACCAAGAGCAGGCACTTGATTCAAAGACAGGTACCCTGTGTACCCCCATGGTCCATGTGGTCCAGCTTACACAGACTTGGCGGACTCAACAAAGACCTCCTATCCTCTTACATGGAGTGTGGTTGTTATTGAGGGAAGATCGACGTTTGACCTGAATCACGGTTGGAGGTGCTATCTTTCTGCCTATCTCTCTTTCATTCCAGCATGTTCATGTGTTTCTGGAAGAAATGAACAAATAAAAACTTTTTTTAAAAAATAAAAAGAGTCTAGACTACTAAGAAAAGATGAGTCAGGATAGAGAGCTACAGGAAGCAAGCATTTAAGTGTTAGCGTAGAAGGTGTAGACAGTCATGATGAGAAGAGGCTAAAAAGGAAAGAAAGAAAACACAAGTATAATGAGAAGAAATCTTAAGCAGAAAGAAACCTAATATAGAGAATTAGGTTTTTACAAAATGCATATGAGGGGTGTGAGAGCAGGCTCCAGGCTGGGCCCCGAGGAACAGTTTTTCTAACTAACCCGCCAGGGGGATCTCCTGTCTCTATCTCCCTCATGAAGCAAGGGACTCAGAAAAACATGGATCCAGGGATGCACCCGGAACACACCAGTGTCAGGACCCCCTGAACTTCTTGCTCCTGTGCCACCTTCTATCTGATGGATCTCTACGAAGAAAATAGATGCCTTCAGTCCATTGGAAATGCATTATATTTATATATTAATTTAGGAAGAATTAGCTTTGATATGCTAGTAAATCTTCTACTGGTTTCATCTAGGTAGAAAATTCTGTCTATAGAAGAGCACAGGTCTCAGAAGAAATATACATTACTTGGTTTATTTTAAGTTGAATTACACAATTGGAAACTTCCCACTCAACCATGTTACAAACCCATGAAAGTTTGGTGAATGAATTTCACTGCTTTCTGTATTTTTGATGTCTGTCCAGGTAACCTTTTATCATAAAATTCATCCCATGAATCATTAATTTGAAAAATGTGACCTCTTCATTAAAACTATGATCTAAATTTTAGTATTAAACTTATAAAATATTTTAAAACATGTAACATATTTTTCTTTTTTTTAATTTGCTAGACTTCACATGCTCACTGGAGAGAAGTGGAGGGAGGAAGGAGAAAGTACCTTTCCTCTATGGTGGATGGTCACAATTGCTTCCCCACCGTCCATTTCTCCTTTTGGATTTTGGCATTCACACACTCAAAGGTGCTCAGGGTGTTTTTTAAGCCACCAGGTCAGAGGCTTGAGTTGCACAGCCAGCCACATAGGGTCCAGCCTTTGACAAGGTGTGCCGTCTTCTTAAAGGCATTTAAAACCTGCCTTTAGAAATACATATAGAATTGCAGTTTAAAATACGTTGAGCTTTTTTATTTGTGTTACAGACCAATCAAATTTATCTCATCTCCTCTCTACTTTTCTTAACATTTCTTTTTCCAATTTAATGTTAATAAATGTGGCTTTAAAAGATAACTAATGGCTGATTATGCCATTATCTATCGCTGTCTGCATTGACTAAAGTTTGGGGTCTGTCACTAACTTGTATGACTCTGAGCACATTACTTCTAAAATCCAATTTCTTCATATCTGAAATGGGTAGTATGTATATTTTATAAGAACGTCATGATGATTTAATATAATTCTGTATGTGAAGTGCCTAGAGCGTGAATAGCAGTTGCTTAGCAAATGGCAAATATTACTTTCAGCATGAGGTAGTGTTTAACTCTCACTTTTATTAGAAGGCATTTGTTTACATGGTTCATTCTCTGCATCTCTGGTGTCACTTACATAGGAATCTCAGGATCGAGAGCCTCATATAAATGTTCTCTCACGTCCTCCTGATTAATTGTTCTCATCACTGTGCTAAACACTGTAATTTCTCAAACATGTGTACCTCTGGGTATTCACTACAAATTTGAACTTGGTGAAAACTATGATTTGCTATGAAAACAAATTACATGGTACTGTGTGTGAAATTGTGTGTTGTCTTCAGGGAAAATGGTTAATGGGTAAAGAAAGTTTTCTAATTTCAATAATTTAATTCTCTTTAGACATGATTTAAAAAATAATGTGTTTTTTTAATTCTTTAATCAAAAAGGAAACAGTTCACGACTATATCCTATCATGTCTACCTCCTCCTGCAAATAAAACCCACCAAAACCAAGCATGCACACAGCCTCTTGTGTGGAGGACGTCGACTCAGAATTTCTTATTGATTTTTGTGACAAAGACATTTCATAGTTGATATAGTTGTGTAAGTAAACAGAACTAGTGTAATGTCCAAACTTTTCTGAGGTCATTTATACTCTCTATATAAATCTATACAGTGTCTCATTTAGACCTTTATTTGATTTTGTTTTATTTTTGAGAGGTTTTTGCTCATAAGGCATGTGCGCTCATCAGAGACACCAAGAGACAGAAAGTGAGAAATCACCCCTCAGGAGCCCTGACCATGCTGCAATCCCTTCCCCTCCATTCTCTTCTTGGGACTTTACATGAGTTTCAAGCCTCTGGATCTGGGACTCGAACTACAGTTGGCCATGTGGGAGTCTAGTGACATAACTACTATGCCATCTGCTGGCCCCTCATCTAGACCTTTAAAGGTCAACAGAATGGTAGAAATTCATGTTCCGAGTAACATGGCTAATTAGGGAACATTTGTAATTGTGGAAAGAAAAACATGGACACATTTTCTATTTCTTTCATAAGGGCCAGTTTGCTGAGAGTTTGCAGATAGCACACGTTATGTTTCTGCCACTCCTTAAGAAAATATAGAAGATTAATTAAATTGTCCTTGTTTTTATTGGTAGTTAAAGTATTTTATTCCTTTTTGACCCCTCAGAATCATTTTCCGATCTGGTGCATGTAATAGATGTGTTTCTCATGCGTACTGCCAGGGCTTCATTCTTTAGTACTCTATGGACTCAACTTTGAAAAAATATTCTGTAGTGAAATAAATTTTGAATATGCATACTAGTTAGTGTAATGGCTATGTCGCTGAACTCCATGTAGTCAACTGCGGTTCAAGTCCTGGACCTGGTGACTTAAACTCATGCCGGGCACGTGCGCATGCATGTCCAAGATCCTGAGAGGAGTATGGAGGAGAAGGGATTGCAACGTGGCCATCCACCTGGGGGGTGATTTGTCACTTTCTGTCTCTCTGTCTCTCTGGAGACCGCATGCGCCCTATAGCAAAAACATCTCCAAAAAAAAAAAAAGAATTTTGCTATAGGATGCATACACTCACTGGAGAGAGACAGTGAGAGGGAAAGTAAGAAATCACCCTTTGTGGTGATGACCACACCACAATCCTTTCTCCTCTATTCTCCTCTTGGGATTTTGGGCATGTACACACATATGCCCAACATGATTTTCAAGTTGCCAGGTCTGGGACTCGAACCATGGTTGGCCATGTGAGAGTCCAGTGCCTTTACTACCTGCTGGCCCCTGGATGTTGTTTAAGAAGAGGTAACATCTGGTCTCAATTCTGCAGAGAGAAGCATGTTAATAGATACTGTCTGATTAGTTAGGACGAAGAGGAACATTAGAATAGCTAGTAAAGTATATACAAAGGAATAAATGAAGTCGTGGCCATTTCTGAATGTCCTCTTCCTGGGGCATCTTGAATGCCACATTTCTCTGAGTTCTTTTACTTATTGCTCTTGGTACCACCTTTGGCTATTATTCTCAAATTGCTTAGTATACAGATGGGCTTCTTTTGATGATGAAAAAATCTTATATGTTTACACAAAAATAATTTTAGACACTTCCCAATATTCAGTTAACTTTTAATGTGATAAGTAGTTTAGTTATGTTTATTAAAATTGCTAAAACCTTTTGATGCTGCCTAGAATATTTACCAATTTAAAATATCTTCTGGGGCAATAGAAAAAGTATGAATAAGATATAAAAGCACATTAAATTTAATATTTTTTATGTGTGTCTAGAAAATTCATACATTTATTTTTTTAAGGTAAAACATGAATATAATCGAAATATGTAATAAAGACCAAAAAAGAAGTAGAAACAAACATAATAAATGTACCCTAGGCTTTTTTTCGAGTTTACTTTGAATAGTTTTATTTGTTCAGCTTTGCAGCTTTAATATATTTAAAATGTATATGTGTGTTTTAAACTTAGATGTGTATGGCTGTTTGGTGAAGAATCGTTTGTAAATAGCTCAACTTTGCTCTTTCCCCAATTTTGCTCTCTCTCCATATAAATCTATTGCACAATGATTGAAACAGAAGGAAACAAAGCAGGAAGATCTGCAATGATTTATTGAATAGAAGGATAGGTTATTAATAATTAAGACAATTATTCATTCAAGAAAGACTGAATGGTTTTTAATAACGTGAAAGTACTTTTTAATAGCACTAGATCTGACATCAGATAAGCATAGGATCAGGTGACCTTAGCCCTTTGGAAGGCATGCAACCTCTTTGATGTATATTGATAATCCTATTAATTATTCATGAGACTACTTGGTCCATGATATTAATTCAATGAACAGCTCTTATCTTAGAAAAACTGCAGAAATAGAAAGATAGTTTTCACTATTTAGAGTAGTATTTGCAATGGAGACTGTACATTGGGAAACCCTGGACTAAAGTCTATGCACTTGTTCATTTATTTTTCAAACATTTATTTTTGATTTCCTAGGCTGGGTTTAAGGAATACATGAAAAAGGTGGCTCCAGCCTTTACTGACCATTCTTTTATTTTTTTTTGAAGAGGTTTTTGCTATAGGGCGCATACGCTTGCCAGAAAGAGAGACAGAGAGATAGAAAGCAAGAAATCACTCCCCACCCCCGTGACGGGGTGGTGGCCATGCTGCAATCCCTTCTTCTATAGAAAGCAAGAAATCACTCCCCACCCCCCTGACGGGGTGATGGCCATGCTGCAATCCCTTCTTCTCCATTATCCTCTCGGGATCTTGGGCATGCACGTGCATGCGCCCGGCGTGAGTTTAAGCCACCAGGTCCAGGACACGAACCATGGTTGGCTACATGGGAGTCCAGCGACATAGCCATTACGCTAACTGCTGGTCCCACTGACTGTTCTTAATTGGAAAAAAAGAAAAACAAAACAAAACAGTATTTTATTTTATTTTCTCTGTAACTACATCAGATGACTCAAGAACCCTAAGCTTGCAGATCTCTGAGTAATGTGGTCATGAGAACTGTTTGCAGGGCAACCCGCGGGGAGGTGCGCTCTCTTACTGCAGGGCTGACTCCTGATGCATGACCACGGTTCCAGAAAGTCACCAGTCGTTTTGGAAGGCAGTCCCCCGAGACAGCACTTTGCAAATTTCAGTTCTCATAAGACCTTCCCCAATTTTTGGTTGTTCTACTTGTTCTCTTGTTTAAGAACAATATTCTTAGACTGATTTTTTTTTTCTGCTTAATTTATTTTAAAGGGACATTTTATATCTCTACTATAAATGGGAAATGATTACCAAGTTCCATAGATAGAATACAAGAAACAGATACAGATTGGAAACAACGCGATGTTGAAGACATTAGAGCAAAGGGCAGGATCTGAGCGGGGCTCATTCTCCTTGATGGTGTTAGAGTTCAGGAAGTCCCAGGAGGGGGACTGAGGCCTCCCCGCAGGGATCAGGACCAGCTCTCTCCTCCACCATTCCCTGTCACAGTGCTCTGGGAATTTATACCCCACACTGGCAAGTGCTGTTTCCAGATTTCACTTTCCAGAGGCTGAATGAACTTTTGCTGTGCACGGGCGGGTGTTCAGGTCTGTGATAAATGCTCTGGATATGTTCTCTCCCTTGGTTCTCACAGGGACTTCGAAGCTAGAGTTACGTGTGTGTTACCGTGCAATTCTGAGCATGGAGAGCTTCATTAGTTGCTTGAGGCCATATAGTTAGAACAGAAGAGAGGTGGGTTTTGAATCCAGGACAGCCTGATACCCCAAGGTGTCCTCTTAACTACTATGGATCTCTCTAAAGTAAGCTCGTTTCAGAGTCTTCCACTCGGATGTAAGTAACAATGTTTGCCTTATGTACGAGCTCATATGTATATGCATAAGGGAGCTCATTTCTTGCTTATGTTGTGTAGTTTTCAATGTAGTTTACACATGAATTCGTGTGCGGTGTTGAAAACATTACAGCGAATGCCCCCCCCCCCAAACCATAATAAAACAAGGACATTTGTCAAATAGGGACATTTCATAAAATTTAGATTTTTTTTTTCTTCCATGGTCAGGACAGAGAAAAGATTACAATTGTAAACTACACTAACTTAAGAATATACTCAAGTTCTTGTGGTAAATTATTTATTTAAACTTTGCCAGAGGGTATGTGCATTCACTAGGGAGAGAAGAGAGACAGAGAGCACAATGGGAAAGCATCCCCCACAGGGGATGGTCACACCACCTCCACTTCTTCCTCCTTACTGGACCTTGGACATCCATGCACACATGCCTGACGTGTTTTTCAAGTCACCTGGTCCGGAATTCAAACTGCGCATTTGGCCATGTGAAATCCAACTGCCTTAACCACTGTGCCACTAGCTGGCGCAGTAAAATTTTAAATTTCTAATAGTATATCAGATAAAACAATTTATATCTAGGGGAAAATTCCATATTTATAGATAGCTATTACTTTACATTGTCTTTAAATGTAAATAGTTAAGCAATCAGATGTGATAAATAAAAGAGGGTGCTGCCATTATTTTTAAAACATTTGAAGCATTTATTTTTATATAGTTCCACACCATAGGATGAGGTTTCAGTTGATGGCAGACAGTGCGTGCTACCATGGTCCCATCGGATCACAGTGGAGCTGAAGGATTCCTG